CACCGCCCAGGCCCCGCCCCCGCCCTGGCGGGAAACCTAGGAGTGGTCTCGGGCCCTGGGGGCTGGCGGAGTCCTGCGGGTGCCAGTCACCCGAGTGGGGACCCGCGGCGCGGCTGCGGAGCTCGGCCTGGAGTCGTCGGGATCCGGGTCCGGAGGGAGGAGCGGCGCGGTGCCGGAGGGGGCAAGTGGGGGCGTTTCGGGGCAGGGCGGGGATGGCGGACGAGGAGAACCCCCGCGCTCCGGCCTGGAGACAGGACGCGAGCACGCGAGGACGCGAGCGAAACCGAGCCGACTTGGCCCTCTCCCTGCTGACAGAAAGAGAGCCCTTCACTTCGCAGCTGCTCGGTGGGCTCGGTGGCGCAGCTGTTTGGTGGCGCAGTTGCTCGGTGGCGCAGCGGCTCGGTGGGCTCGGTGGCGCAGCTGCTGGGTGGCGCCCGTGCCTCCCGATGCCAGCGAGCCGCAGCCGCTGGCGCTCCCCGAGGGTCTTCTCTCTGCCCCTCGCACGCCTCCTCCCAGCAGGCTCGCCGCCCTCCAGCCGCATTCCCACCGGCCCTGCTTCCTCACCTCCTCTCTCTCCTAGGGATCCGCGGAACGACTTCTCCCTACCTGTCCTCTTTCCTGCTAAAATCACCAGTCTGCAGCTGCAAATCCAAGCACTTCTTACCCATCCTAGTTCTTGCAGGCCTTCCACACAAATTCATGGAGTCCTTCCCGTTTCCTGAGCTCTCTTGCGGGCCCACGCCCGGCAGGCGGTGGTGGCGTCAGTGCCGTTAATCGGTGTAGGGGGCGCGGAGTTGGATACGGTGTTTTCAAAGGCCCAGGGGTGACTTGGAGGGAATGAAAGGCGGTCAGGATGGCCAGAGGCCGAGGCTGGATGCAGAGGAGGCGGACGGGTGGGGCATAAGCCATTTAAATGAAGTGAGCTTCGGGCTTATCCTAAGGGCCCTTTGAGGTTTAAGAGGAGGGCTGAAAGGGTCCTCTTTCCTGTCCGAATGGAGTGTACTGGGTGGGGGGTGGCTCTGTCCGCGGGGAGAGGGATCAGGTGGTATAGACTAGGGTGCAGGCTCAAGAGAAGTAGACTGGTTCAAGAGCCATGTAGGCAGCAGAGGGCAAACCTTGGTGATGGGCTTGAGGGGATGAGGAGCGGTGGGTGGGAGGAGTCAGGGAGGTCTCCCAGGGTGTGAGGCCAGCGTTGGGTGAGTGAGGGTCTCATTTCCACCCTTAGCTAATTCCCTGGAGAAATGTGGGCTGGGGGATGGGAGCGGTGTGTGGTCAGCAGACCTGCCCACTCACACTTAGGCTTCTGACCTCTGTAGCTACCAGGATTACTGGCCTCCCCATTCTCAGTGGTTTTGCTCTCTTGGACCCTTCTCTGTTCCACCTTACCTCTCCATTCTGGCGTTCCACCAGGGCTGCTCTTCGCCCTCTCGTGCACAGTCCACTGTAGTGGCTTTTTCTGAGACTAATGGGTAAAACTCCCAAATCAGTGTTTCTGAGTTAGCAAAAAAAAATTGTGAAACAAAAACGCCCAGACTCCTCACCCTCAGTGCCAAGGTCCGAAGGTCACGTGATGCCTAGCCCCTAGCAATGGTCCTGCACTCTGAGTTGGGTGTTAATTGGCCGTGGGCTGCTCAGCAGGAGAGCACATTGGCTCTCCATTCACTGTAGATGAAAGGTCCTGGCCTCACAGCCAGTTCCATACCCAACTGTAGCCTGTCTCTCTTCGCTTACCAGCATCTCAAACATTTCTCAAGAATCGGCTAATAGATGGGGAGACTGTGGTCTGTTGCATAACTGAAACTCTCAGAAGTTCTCTCCATAAATGTATGGAAAAAGAAAGTATTGTGGCGAAGCTTGGACTTCCCTGAAACCCGGAGGCTGAGTGCTGTGCGTCTGTGCCCAGGAGCTGGTGCTCTTCATTTTCCCCAAGGCTCTCAAGCTGGTTTTATCTTCTGCCAGTATCACACTTAGCTAATTATCTTAATATTTGGACTTATTGTTTGGATGGAGAGCAATAGTAAACGGGTTTGCCTTCAACTTAAAATATTTATGAGCTTTATTATTAAAAAAAACAAAAACAAAAACCCGTACAATTCCCAAACTGCCATATGTGAGGTCAATAACGTTCGGGGTGGGGGGGTGGGGGCTGTTGAAGCAGACTCTCTCTTTATCTGTCTTTATGCTCTGGTTCCAGACCCTGCATCATGGACGCTCTTTCTGAAGCAAATGGCACCTTTGCCATCCAGCTTTTAAAGATACTGTGTGAAGACAACCCTTCACACAACGTGTTCTATTCTCCTGTGAGCATCTCCTCAGCCCTGGCCATGGTCTTCCTGGGGGCAAAAGGAAACACTGCTGCCCAGATGGCCCAGGTAAACCTGCTTGTCACCCAGCAGAAGGGACTGTCTTTTGGTTATTATGTCCCATCACCCAGCTTCGTACCTGAGACTCCAGAACTGCCGTAAAGCAGGGTGGGAGGGGTGCCCAGTGTGGACACACCTGTGCTTACTTCTGGCAGGTGGGGCTGCCTGGGGACCAAGACACAAAGGACAAGGCTGGGAGTCTCCTTCCCTGAGATATTTTTGGGGGCAAGTTCCCTTATTAATAATGTGGATAAGACTATCAGAATCTTATCCTAGCACTTTATCTTTGTTTAGGAAATGATACTGAAATTATTTGGAACTCTAAGCAGCTAAGAGCTCTCATTTTTGGAGTAAAAGACTTCATAGCTATAATTATTCTTTAGTAAGGAAGGGGAGGTTCATATCTATTTCAGGTCATTAATACACCAACATGCCTTCCTAGCTCAGTAAGGGGATGGACAAAAATATGCAATGTGGGTAAAAAAGCACGTCTTTATTGCATATACAGACGGCATGTGGACTAGTTAGTTTAACAAACATTCAGCAAACATCTGAAAATGACTAAGAATCCATCCCTGTCCTGAAGGGGTTTTATAGAGTAGGTAGGGGACATGTGCCCGAGATGAAACCTGAAAGCTTACCTCATGCTCCCACACACATCTTCACTATCGGTGTGTTAGTCAGTGTGGCTCTTTGTTTTGATATAACTTTCTTTTCCCTTGAGAGCCCTTTCTGGGGTGACTACTCAATGTTAATCATTTTTCAGCTTGTGGTAGGAAGGATGGGTGTTTCCGTGTAGAAGGGGGCTTCTTTGGGCTTACTGAACTTTTCTGTGTTTTAGGCTAACTGATGAACCCTCTAGGAGCTTTTTTTGAGAACCTGAAGATTGTCTGGTTACTTTGTATTCAGAGACTTTGAAATTCCTTATCCTCCTGTGCTCAACTGGACGGCAATGACACTGAATATGCTAAATACACATTGCCACTCCTAGCACTCAGGGAACTTCTTTCAAAGAACTAGCTTTCGGATTCTGTGCGCACTGGCAGAGACTGAAAGTGATGTTTTTCCCCACTGGTTGTATTTCTGCCCATTTCTCCATGAACTTTTCATGCTTTTAACTGTATGTGTTGTTCTTTTTTCCTTGTAAATCTTAGAAGCAAATTTTACTTTATATAGGGTGTATTTCATACTTACGTTTTCCTTGGGATGCAAGATTTTATAATAGCCCCTTTTTCTGAACCCCTCTTATCCTTGTCATTCTTTTCTATTACTTACCTTTTTTTTTTTTTTCTTAAAGATTTACTTATTCGTTTGAGAGAGAGAGAGCAAGCACGAGCAGGAGGGGCAGAGGGAGAGGGAGAGAGACTCCCAAGCAGACTCCCCACAAAGCACAGAGCCCGATGCAGGGCTCGATCCCATGACCCTGAGATCATGACCTGAGCCAAAACCAATAGTTGGATGCTCAACGGACTGCACCACCCAGGTGCCCCTTCCTATTACTTACCTATAAACAATAGATATCTATTTAGGTAGAAAAGCCAATTCTTACTCCCCTGTTTTTTTTAATTTTTAAATTTTTAATTTAAATTCAATTTAGTTAACATATAGTGTATTATTAGTTTCAGGGGTAGAATTTAGTATCGGTTGCATATAACACCCAGTGCTCATTCCCTCAAGTGCCCTCCTTAATGCCCATCACCCAGTTACCTTATCCCCCCACCCACCTTCCCTCCAGCAACCCTGTTTGTTCCCTGTACTTAAGAGTGTTTTATGGTTTGCTTCTCTCTCTGTTTTTATTTTATTTTTTCTTTCCTTCACCTATATTCATCTGTTTTGTTTCTTAAATTCCACATATGAGTGAAATCATATGGTATTTGTTTTTCTCTGTCTGATTTATTTCACTTAGCATAATGCCCTCTAGTTCCATCCAGGTCATTGCAAATGGAAAGATTTCATTCTTTTTGATGGCTGAGTAATATGCCATTGTGTGTGTGTGTGTATACACACACATTGTGATATATATATATCACATCTTCTTTATCCATTCATCTGTTGATGGACATCTGGGCTCTTTCCATATTTTGGCTATTGTGGACATTGCTGCTATGAACATTGGGGTGTGGGTGCCCCTTCTTTTCACTACATTTATATCTTTGGGGTAAATACCCAGTAATGCAATTGCTGGGTCATATGGTAGCTCTATTTTCAACTTTTTGAGGAAGCTCCATACTGTTTTCCAGAGTGGCTGCACCAGCTTGCATTCCCACCAACAGTGTAGGAGGCTTCCCCTTTCTCCGCATCCCTGCCAACATCTGTATTTCCTGACTTGTTAATTTTAGCCATTCTGACTGGTGTGAGGTGGTATCTCATTGAGATTTTGATTTGGATTTCCCTGATGCTGAGTGCTGTTGAGCACTTTTTCATGTGTCTGTTGGCCATTTGCATGTCTTCTTTGGAGATGTCTGTTATGTCTTCTGCCCATTTCTTGACTGGATTATTTGTTTTTTGGGTGTTGAATTTGGTAAGTTCTTTACAGGTTTTGGATACTAGCCCTTTATCTGATACGTCATTTGCGAATATCTTCTCCCATTCTGTCGGTTGGCTTTTAGTTTTGTTGATTATTTCCTTTGCTGTGCAAAAGCTTTTTATCTCGATGAAGTCCCAATAGTTCATTTTTGCTTTTGTTTCCCTTGCCTTCGGAGACGTGTCTAGCAAGAAGTTGCTGCGGCCAAGGTCATAGAGGTTGCTGCCTGTGTTCTCCTCTAGGATTTTATTGGATTTCTGTCTCACATTTAGGTCTTTCATCCATTTTGTCTTACTCCCCTGTTTTCTGTTCTCTCCCTCCCCCTCTCCTCTCTGTCCTTTTCTCTCTGTATCTTCTCCTTACCCCACATAGTGCTGCTCTCGTATGTATTAAATCTGCGATTAAAATGAATGTAATATCCGTTTTTTAAAAAGAGAAACCAGTGTACTTTAAAGCAAAAATTTGTAGAGTATTTAAGAAAGAATTTTGCTTACAGATTTTTTGAGACAATCTTTTTTTTTTTGAGAGAGAGAGTGTGCGAGCAGCTGGTGGGGAGGGGGGAAGCAAAGAGAGGGAGAGAGAATCTGAAGCAGACTCCACACTGAGTGCAGAGCCTGACTCAGGACTTGATCTCATAACCCTGGGATCATGACCTGAGCTGAAATCAAGTGTCAGACGCTTAACTGGCTGAGCCACCCAGCTGCCCCGCAAAGAACAATCTTGATAAATTTTAAAATTATTTTTCTCAACAGGTGCTTTCATTAAGCACAGAGAAAGACATTCATCAGAGTTTCCAGTCACTTCTTGCTGAAGTGAACAAACCTGGCACCCAGTACTTGCTCAGAACGGCCAGCAGGCTCTTTGGAGAAAAGACTTGTGAATTCCTCTCGGTAAGTTGAGTCAGCAGAACAATAAAAGTTGTAATCAAAATACGGAGTCTGAAAGAAAGATCTTGGAGAACTGAAAATTATGGTAAACATTTTTTTAAAAAATCATAATGCTATAACTGTGCCTTGAATTATTTAAAAATTGATTACTTCTAAAATTCACTTATCCATTTCTGGTTATTCGGGGCTTAGTACTTACCTATTTATAAACTCTGATATTTTAGTACCTAGTAGACTGAGATATGACCACTTTTAAGAAATGTATACTCGTTTTAATAAAACGTATGTAAGATTCCAATTTTCTTGGAACCTGAACTTTATTTAGGAATATAGCCATATTTGAACCTTTTTCCCTCAAAGGCCTTTAAGGAATCCTGTCTTCGGTTCTACCACGCTGAGCTGGAGCAGCTTTCCTTTGCCAGTGATGCAGAGCAGTGCAGGGAGCACATCAACACTTGGGTCTCAAAAAAGACTGAAGGTCAGAATTACATGTTATTACCCCCTTCTTTTTCCTTCTCCCTCTGCCTTCTCATCTTTCCCCTGGTTCTCCTCCCCTCCCTCTTCCTCCCCTTGCTTTTCCTGATGCTCTGATTTGACGAGTGTTTCAGATGGTCAGAGGCCTGCTGATGGGCTGGGCTTCTTGGCGTATTTGAAACTTAATGGACTCACAGGGTTCTGATCAGATGCTCAGGTTTTCAACCACAGAGACTTAATTTTGTCCATTCTCCTGGGACAAGAAAGACTGATACAGATATCCAAAGAAAGTCATAGGCTGGATTTCCAGTTTAATAAGGTACACTGAAACATACTTTCACTTGGCCTGTAACATTCACATGTTGGGGGAATTCATCACCTCCGTAGGAAGGAGGCTATCGGTCAGATCTCTGAGACATACGCTTGGGCTTCGAAATTCTCTGTGGACCTCACATACCACCACCTTCACCCTATACAGTAAGCTTACTTATTCTGCTGCTTCTTTCATGTCTTCCACGTACACTCCCTTAATTAGGTTTGATAAGCCTAGATTTGGTAGGCCAACTGCAGATGCTCTCTCACAGCTGATCAGTTCTCTAGACTGAAATCATCCTTTGTTTGGTGTTGAGCCTTACTCGTTTCTGTTTTACAGAGTGGTGTGTTCTGATCTTGACCCGCATGATCAACGATGTTCGAACCATTCAGGACCCTCTGCACCAACTCTACTTAGTACCACTAGGAACACTCCTATTTCTATCAATAAATCAGACAATAGAGAACAAGAGGTTGTCTCTCCTTAGAGAGTTAGCAGTTATTGCTACCATTTCTTCTTGTAATATTTGCTACTTATGCCATCTGGAGGCAGGGAATTAGCAGGGATGCTCTTAGTTCATTGGAAAGGTACAACTTGATATCTAGGGAAGAAGGGAGTATCTTTCACTTGCCCACCTTACCTTTTCCAGGAATGTCTGGTATTTTGTTTAGAGGATCAAATAGTGAAATCTCTTCCAGATGCTTCCAGAAGCTCCTCAGTGCACCCATGCTGCCCATTGTCAACTATATCCCCTTTGAGTCATTCATTCTGGCTGCCTCTGACATGTGGACATAGTTGTGGAATGTTAGCACTCATTGTACCTTTGGTGCATTAAACCAAACACTCCGTTTTAGCACTTGAGAGAACCTAAGTCCCCCCCAGCCCGTCTCTCGTTTCCCGCTTGCCTTGCTGTCCGACCTAGTGTAGTGTTTCTCTTTGAGTGATTTAGAAACCTTTCACCGTCATGGACTTTGTGGGTGTTCCCACAGCATTTATGACCTGACCATGAAAACCACTTGTATGTGTTGTTTTTTTCTATTTCTGCATATAGCAATCCAAACTCACCAAATTTGGAAAAGAAAAGAATGTTTGGTTCTTGATTAATAACTGAGGATCTGTCAATAGCCTTATTACGATTTATTCATCACACTTTTATGAAAACAACTTAATATATTCTCTACTTTTCCTGGAAGGTAAAATTCGAGATTTACTGCCGAGTAACTCAATCAATGCAAACACCAGGCTGGTTCTTGTCAATGCCATCTACTTCAAAGGAAGGTGGAATGAACAGTTCAACAAAATGTACACAAGGGAAATGCCTTTTAAAATAAACCAGGTGAGAGAAGCTTTCAAAAATCCTTCTAGTTTCATGAAGAAATTGAATGGAAAAAGTTAACTTTGTAAAAGCATAAATGATTGGTTAGAAATAATTTTGAAACTTAACGCATTTTTGAATGAAGTTTTAAACTCAGGAGAAAAGAACTGAGAAATAAAAATAATTTGCTGCCTCTGATTTTTTGCATTTTATTACTATTCCTACTGCCTCTGATAATTTCTCCTACATTCATTGCTGCCACCTAGTTCTGGAAACTTAAGACTTTTCCTCTAAGCTTAAGTTGCTTAACAGAAAGCAAAAAACGTGTTAAGGAAGTGAGATATGTGTATGTGTTGGGCAAGTGGATAGAAGGAGTGAATATTTCTTTAGTCAGATACTTGAAAAAATAAGTATAGACTTGAATTATTGTTAATCATTATTAATCTAGTATTTATAAGTTTCTAATATTAAAACTAACTGACAAAGATGTTAGTCTTGATATTGAGGTATAACTTCAATTCAGGCGGGCATTAAAATAGCTTGCCAAATCTCCCAGCCCCTAAAAAAAAAAAATACCACTTTAATGCAATTAGGAAACTTGTACTGTACAGGTAAAACCTTTTTTTGGGGGGTGGGGCATAAGGTGTACTTTACATAATCAGCCCTCTAGTTACAAAAGTGGAAGGAGGAGAACTTTTCTAGCTATGATTTTAGAATTCTAATTTTTAGAATAGCTGATCCATATCAGCTTTTAAAACTTTAATGAGTATAGTAGTCCAATTAACTTCTGCGTGCATATACCTCTTCTGTGTTTTTAGAAAACCATTTCCTTGGATTAGAGTATCAGAACTGAAACAACTGCATTTAAATACAGGAGGAGATATGTAATTCTTTCTACTTGCTGGCAGACTGCTTCCTGAGGGGCTCTTTACACCACCAGTCACACTGCTGTGAAACTCTTCAGTGTCTTCTTCTTTTTT